ACGTGGAGATGGTAAACCTACAATTATATTAAAAGTTGTGGCATCATTTGGCATGTAGATTTGGTATTCTTTTTTCAGCACACCAAGTACATGCAATGACATTAACATGTTTGATCGATTTTCATTATTTAATAATTTTTGGATGGCAGAGCCCCGCAAGTAATTTCATCATCAATGATCATCAATATAGAACGAGATATTATCTTACGGATGACATTTACCCTTCGTGGGCAAGTTTTATTCATTCTATTTGTCTTCCACAAGATTTTAAAGAACAATTATTTGCAAGAGGCAACTCAAAAAGATGTATAACGGGCTTTTGGAGTGTTATAAACTCGATTTGCAATTATTCGTGACTCATATATTATTTGGGATCTAAACATAATTGGAAAATTAATGAAAACTTGCATCATATTACATAATATGATCGTTGAAAATGAAAGTAATACATATATGCATTATAATGATACTTCACAATTTGATTAAGCGGATACAGATGCAAAAGAAAATCCGTCTTGCTCATCCTCACATGATACACATACTGATATGACAAGTTTTCTATCAAATGATATCCGATTTCAAAACAGAGGTACACACAATCAACTAAAATCGGATTAGTGGAGCACATATGAAAAAGTTTTAATTCTTTTGAAAATTGAATTGTAGGTTTAAAATTGAATATTTAGTTACTTGTTATGTTCATCTTATTAAATGTTGATATTATGATTATATTCCACTACAAAAAAATAATATATTTGTAACGGAATTCCGTCACTAAAGTTCACGTAGTTAATGTAATTCCATTACTAATTCCGTCTCTAATGTCATTAGTAACGGAAAAAGTAGATTTAGAGACAAAAAAGTTTTGTTACAAAAATGATTTTTTCTTGTAGTGTTCAATTACTATCTTCATACTCCCTCAGTCCCATATTTATATATCCATTTACTTTTTGTACGGAGTTTTAGGAATATTAGTATTATATTGGAATATAGAAGTAAAGATAAAAATACTAAATTGCTCTTATTAGTATTGTATAATATAAAAATAATGACATTTGTGTAATATATTGTAAATTGGAAAGGTATTTATAATGTTAGGTAGATAATACACTTATTAAAAAAAGAAATGGATACTTTGTTATGGGACGAACGAAAATGGAAAAATGGATAAATTGTTAAGGAACGGAGGGAGTATTATTTTTTCATAACTTCACGTGTACATATAAATTAATTAAAATAAATTATCAATAAAATCTTACATAAATAAATATATATTGTAGACCTATAAATTCAATACTAGCTAATAATATGAATGTAATATTTAAATTTTATATTAAATTATTTTAATTAAAGTATTAAATAATTATTGTTAAAACTATTTTATTAAATAGAAAATATTATAATGTTTATATAATATATTATTTTAAAAAATTATTGTATAAAATTTGTATTAAATAAAATAATATATTTTTTGGTGTGGGATAAAAAGAAATTCGGGGAACGTAAAACTCGATTCTATAATTTGAGTAAAAAAATTGAGCGAATTCTTAATGAGTTTTTCAGTTAATATTGCATGACGTGAAATAGAGAGAAAATCGACTCAAAGAATTATTACAAAATTGGGTTTTCCATTGTCTATGGTCTAAGGTATTTTATCACTGCAAGCCTGGTTGTTATTGCAGCCTCGGATTAAACTTTATGCTCAATGCAAGTTTCAGAATTTTGGTCATGTTTCAGAGCAGTCGGTAAATTGCTTGGTTTGAATAGTTGAAGGAGAGTGAAGATGTTTACTTTTTTTTTTTTTTAAAAAAAATATATTAATATTATATATATATTATATTATATTAATTACAATTATAATTGTATTTTATTTAGTGTTTATTTTTATATTATAAATTAATTTAATATTTATTTCAGTCGTATGTATTAATTATATTTAATATTATTGTATAAATTATATTAATATATAATTTTGCATTATATAATTATAGTTTTTTTTAAGTTAATAATATATAATTTAGTATTAATTATTCATTATTTATTGTTTAAAATAAAATTTAATAGTGTGTTCTTTCAGTAAAAAATATTCAATATAGTTTTTACTAAAGAATTAATATATTACATACTCATTATTTTTATATTACCTACATAATTTTTTGTACACACATAAAGAAAAAACAAAATTCAAAAGAAACATAAAACAAATAAACGCTAAATATTTCATTAAAAATTCCCTATGTTCTCATTTTCTTTTATACTTATCGATAAATAAAATTAATTTAAATTAAATAACCAATGAAGTTAAAATAAAATTGTATATACATATAAATAAAGTACTATATACATATATATATATAAAAGATTTAGAATAATTTAAATATAATTTTTATTTAAATATCAAATAATTTATACTAATTTTTTTTTTATTAAATGCAAGGTAGTATCATATATGTAAGATATATTTTATAAAAATATATATTATATAAAATTTGTATTTAATAAATAATAAACTTATTAATGTTGAAGAAAGAGAAATTTTAAGAATGATCTACATTACGAGGAAAGAAACTGTCCGATTTGGGAAATGTCCATTAGATTCCATGATGTGGCACAAGTTTTCAAACATAGCTATTTGCAACTCCAAAATTATAGGAAACACAGACCAGCAATCTTAAAGGTATATTTATTTTGATGGATTTTGATGAATTTTGATTTAAATTTGGTATTAAAATAATTTTTTATAGAATATTTTGTGGGAGAAAATATATATATATATATTTTTGAAACAAAAAGTTCAAATAATAAAAGCCTGAGTTTTGTGTAAAAAAGACATGCCTAACAGTTTACAAGGCAATCTCATTAGTTTTTTATTTGTCTTGCCATTTTATTAAATCTTGTTTATTTTATTTTTAAGATCATGCACGTCACGTCGCATGAATAAATACATATTTTATATTGATTCTCTAAATATAAAATAGGTATATTATTGGAGATTGATTGTATTAGATTCTTTTCTTTCGATACTTAATTTGTTTAAACAGTGGTTTATAGACACATTATTTTTTGTAAGATAGAATATAGGGTTTGTTGTTTTAACAAAATAAAAAAATACATATTTTTTTCAAAAATATTAATATATTACACATATTTATTATTTTTATATTATATAAGTAATTTTTCATATCTCACATAAAAAAATATTCATTCAAAATATCTCACAAAACAAACATATCCATAGAGTTTGTTCACTTTTGGTATTTCTTGATGAATTTATTATTATTATTATTATTATTATTTATGTTAGGTATGGATAACTGTGTCGTAATATAAAAAAATCTCTCAATTCTAACTCAATATATTTATTTTTGTTATTTTAGTCTGTCTCACTCAAAAGTACTCAACAATAAATTATAGATAAATACCAATATTCTTAATATTTTTTTAGAAAAAAAATTCCTTTGTACATCCAAGAACAAAAATATCAATATCGTCTTACACATTTATTGTATTACATTTTGATATTATAACTAATATTCAAATATCATTACGCAAAACACAAATATAAACTTTCAAAGTGGATGAAAACAATATTATTTGTAATTTTAATAAAATGCAATATTTTTTCTAAAGATATTTAAAAAATCTAAAAATTATTTTATCAACAATATCAAGCTTCATCAAAATATTTTCACAACCCTGACAAAACACGCTTCATCAAAATATTTTCACAACCCTGACAAAACAAACACACTAATTGTTACGAAATATACACGTAGCAACTACGTGGTACTGTGACTGCTTTTTGTTTCCTTTGTGTGGAGGTTTCATACATCTATAAATATATATTGAATGAAATGAACTGCAATCGCATTACATTTCAATTTCATTCATTCGCATTTAATTTCCTCATGTCTGCTGCATTAAATTCTCTCATGCTTGCTTCTTTTATGCGCAATTCATATATATACATACACACTGTCATTCCATATATATTATATTACATACATATATTTATATATACAATATATATAATATAATACAAAATATAAAATAGTGGTTAGCGGTAGAAGTAATTAATTTTTCTATTGGTTAATCCTATAATAATATTACAACACTAATAATATTGTTGTTTCTTTTCTTTAGTTTTATTTTTACAGTGTTTTTTTATTCAAACCCCGACGCCTCCAGTTCCACCTACACCTGCGACACATGGTTCGCCTAGTGTGATTTGTCTTGTCAAGCCTAATTTGCAGAGTTTTAGGTTCAGCAAGGGGTTTACCAACTGCGTACTCAACGAATAGCAGTTACAGGTTCTCACGTTATAAAAATATATATATATTCACAACTTTTAATAAATATTTCATCCGCCACAAATCAAATTGGTTTTTTGGAGTTTTGTAAGAGATACAAAATTAATAGTATTTTATTAGTTAGTAGAAATGCATTAGAGTTTCTGACATTTTTCTCTTTGATTTTATGTATAAAGTAACTGTATAACGATATGTTTGTAATTTAAGTAAAAATTAAGTATAACTTGATATTAGTATATAATACAAATAATTATAAATTAAGATAAAAAAAAATATAAATTATATGGAACGAATAAAGATTAAAATTATAAATTATAAATTGTATGGAACCAACAACGATTAAAATTATAAATTATGTAGAATGAACAAAGATTATAAAATTTAAAGTATAATTGAAATATATATATATATATATTTTTGAAAAGAAAGACAAATTATATAGAATGAACACGGATTAAAATTTAAATTAATATATAGAAATTTTAGGTAAGATAGAAAAAATAACAATATTTTCCTAATATAAAAAAAGAGAAAATCTAGAACTGATCCGACGACTTTCCATTGCTCGTTTAGAGTTTAGTTGGCTGGGGTTGTCACTAATACTATAATTCCATCCATTAGACAAACCATTATTGAACCTTTAGTTACTTTCATTATTTCCTATAATTAGATACCGAAATCGAAATCAAAATGGAGAGCCAAATGATATCGAGGGAATACATAAAGCCATCTTCTCCAACGCCGGCACACCTCAAAACCTACAAGCTGTCCATGCTCGACCAGACAACCGTCTCAAACTTTGTCCCCATCATCCTCTTCTTCCCTCCTCGTCCCGACAACAACGTTGTTAATCGTCACCAAACTTCCGACCAGCTCAAATATTCACTATCCATCATTTTAACCCGTTTCTACCCTTTCGCCGGAAGAGCCAATCAGGACAACTATTCGATCGATTGCAGCGACGCCGGAGTTGACTTCGCTGTCTTTGAATTCCCCGGCCACCGCCTTCTTGATCTTCTGCGCAATTCAAATTCGAGCACCAATTCACGGGCTCGCCTTTTTCCGGTGAAGTTCGCTTGGGAGAATGAAAAAGATCCTGAGTCTAGAGTCGTCTTCGTCCAAGTCAATTATTTTGATTGCGGCGGCGTTGCCATCGCCACTCTTATTTGGCACCGGGCAGCCGATCTTACGACGATGGTGAATTTCCTCAAGGCCTGGGCAGTCACCAATAGGGGATCCAATCAAGAAGTCTGCCCTAATTACATTTCCCAGATTCTATTCCCACATAAGGAGGATCTTATCGGCCAGCACTTTTCCACGGCGGGGTTTATGCAGACAGGGAAATGGGTGGCGCGTCGATACGTGTTCGATTCGATCGCGATTTCATCTCTCAAGTCAAAAACAGGCCTGGAAAACCCTACCAGGGTGGAAGCTGTCTCAGCATTTCTCTGGAAATGTTTCATGGAAGCATCTTTAAAAAATGGCAAATCGGCTTCCGTTCTGCTCCAGCCTGTGAACATGAGAAGGCGAGCCCGGCCGCCATTCCGGTCAGATTTCGCCGGAAACTGTACGGTCTCCACGACGGCGTCCAGCCGGAACGAGCGCGGGGATGTGTACAAAAGCTTGGCAAGGAAATTGCGGGATCCCGTTGCGAGAATCGACGGCGATTTTGTTGCGAGGATGCAAGGCGACGGGGGTTTCCATGGCTACCAAGTTAATATGCAGTCGGTGGCGGCGGATTTGTCCGGCGGGGCGGATCCGCTGTTCTTGTCGAGCTGGTGCGGCTATGGTGTATACGACATTGACTTTGGGTGGGAGAAGCCTGTCTGGGTGACAACTGGAGGCGATTCGTCCAGGTCGGAATACACAAATGGTGTTCTGTTATTGGACACCAGTGCTGGGGATGGAATTGAGGTGTCGATATGTCTTGGTGAGAAGTACATGGCGGTCTTTGACGCCATTGAAGAACTCCGGGACCTCGCTTGCATCGATCCAAGTCCGTTGGACATCGCCACTTCAATGAAGTAAATAGTTACTTTGGGTCTGTTTGATTATGATTTTATATTGTTTTATTATTCTTCTCAAACTGTTTATTTTTGTAGAATAAGATGTTTAATTAATGTTTTAATGTAACGGACTCCCTCGGTCCCATGTAATATGAGTCTATTATTAAAAATAATTATAAATTAAAATTAAGATAAGTAAATAGTTTAATTAAGATTAAAAAAATTTAAATTTCAAATTTTAAAATATGATTAAAGTGTATAATTAATTTTCCAAAAAAGGAAAGGACAAATTATGTGAGACGTACAAAAATAAAAAATAAAGACAAATTACGTGAGACGGAGGGAGTAACATTTACAAATAAATTTAAAATACACTCCCTCCGTCTAATTTGTCTCATTTATATTAGGAGTTTTTAGGTATTGTATAATTAGTAAATAATTAAGAAGTATATTAGTAAAAATAATTATAATTTAATAAAAATAGTTTTAGATTAAGATTAAAATTATTAAATAGTTTAATTAAAATTAAAAAAAATTATAAGTTATGAATTTTAAAATGTAATTAAACTGTATAATTGTATTTAAAAAAAATGACAAATTATGTAGGACGGACGAAAATAGAAATAGTTGACAAATTAAGTGGGTCAGGAGGAAGCATGTTTGAAGTGTTTTAATATTTATTCCTCGATAAAATTTAAATTTTTTATTTTTTATCCAATTGCGACGTGGTCATCTCGGGCCATTCTCGCACAATGGACTGAGCCAAAAACCGCTATCCCTTCCCCGGTGAAAGATCGAGGAAGATGAGGAGAAAGAAGATCAATGTTCTTCGATGTTGTTAGGACGAGCAGTTAGTCGGTTCCCGGAGTTTGAAGTTTTTCGTAGAAGAAACATAATCGTTGTTGAGTCCGTCATTTGTCTGTCCCAGAAGATGACCATAGAAAGTTGTCTCCGTGATTCATCGCTGAAGGAACCGTCATTGTCATCGGCTATATTCGTCAAGAACAGAAAGAAGAAGATGAAGAAATCGAAACACGGAATGCAATTTTATTAATTCTTCTGCAATTGAGTTGTGAGATTTGTCCAGGAATGTAAAAAGCAAGGAAAGTATAGACAATGTACTATTGAATTAAAATATACATATATGGATTGGAAGAGAAATGTACTCGTATATATATTATATTGTTGGAAATAAGGAGCTGTGGAAGAGAATTATAGTATAGAGAAATTTTATTTGAAAAAAACATTGATGCTTTCTTATTTTTTAAATACGTATACTACATGGGTATTTATAGAAAAATTATTTGTAGTAGGTAAAATTTATTAATAGCTTGAGAATAGTAAAAGTCTATTCTTGAATCTTCACTGCCTTGAGAATTGGTGCGTTGGAATCCTTATTCTTTTTATTTTGGGATTGCAAATTATATTTAACACCCCCTCTTAATTTGTAATTCCAATATCTTTCTTGAACTGTTGAAACTTCTCTTCGGTGACTGCCTTCGTGAGTACATCGGCAAGTTGTGCTATGGTCATAACATGTTCCAGAAAGATTTCTTTTTCTTGGACCTTTGTACGGATAAAGTGATGTCTGAGCTCGATGTGTTTTGTTCTTCCATGAAACACTGGATTCTTTGTCATGGAAATTGCTGCCATATTATCATAGAAAATTGGAGTGGGTCCATCAACTCTCTGTAACAAATCCTTCAAAATTCTTCTGAGCCAAACTCTTTCTCGAACTGCTTCATTCGTAGCAATGTACTCTGCCTTCGGGGATGACATAGCAACTGAATTTTGCTTCTTCGAACTCCACGAAATTGCTTTTGATCCCAAGCAAAAAACGTATCGCGATGTGCTCTTCCTGTCATCTTGGCTTCCAGCCCAATCACTATCCGTGAATCCAATCAACTCATTGTTCTCCTCCCTCGAATATTTGATGCCAAGACATTTTGTCCCTTGAATGTAACGGAGAATCCTTTTTGCAGCCGCAAAATGTGACTTGCTTGGATTGCTCATAAAACTGGAAATCAAACTTACAGCATGTAAGATATCCGGTCTTGTGTGTGTTAGGTAGATAAGCGATCCGACAAGGCTCCGATAAATGCTTGGGTCGAATTTTTCTGCACCATCATCAAACTTTAATCTTTCATTTAAGGCCATGGGTGTTGCAGCAGGCTTGCAATTCTCCATTCTAAACTTCTTTAGCATGTCTGCTGCATACTTTTCCTGGGAGATAAAGATACTTCCATTTTCTTGCTTTACTTGAATGCCGAGAAAATACTTCATCACTCCGAGATCGGTCATTTCAAACTTTCTCATAGTCGCTTCTTTGAACAATTTCACCATTGCATCATTTGTTCCTGCATAGATTAGATCATCGACATATAGGCAAACCATCAAAAAATCATTCTCACTTTTCTTCACATAGAGAGATGGTTCGGAAGGACTTTTCAGAAATCCCTTTTGCCGGAAATATGCATCAATCGTGTTGTTCCAGCATCTTGGCACTTGCTTCAGGCCGTACAGTGCTTTGTGCAGCCTGTATACTTTTTCTTCTTTGCCTTTCGCTTCAAATCCTTGTGGTTGTTTAACGTACACCTCCTCTTCTAGTTCACCATTCAAAAATGCAGTTTTTACGTCAAGTTGGAACACTTTCAACTCCAATTGTGCTGCGATTGCAAGAACAACTCTTATTGTTTCCATTCTAGCTACAGGTGCAAATGTCTCCATAAAATCCACTCCAGGCTGTTGTGCGTATCCCTTTGCCACAAGTCGTGCTTTGTATTTTTTTATAGTTCCATCTTCATTGAACTTGGTCCTGAAGACCCATTTCAATCCAATCGCTTCTTTTCCTTCGGGAAGATCCACCAACTTCCATGTTTGATTCTTTTCGATACTTTTCATTTCATCATCCATCGCATTTTTCCACGCTTCGTCTTTCATAGCTTCTTCAAAAGATTGTGGCTCGCATGCAAATAACGCAACATTAGATGAGTTATAAATTTCATCTAAAGAACGATACCTGCGTGGCTCTTCATCCGAATCCGATTCTTCTTGCTGAGAGTTACTGTTTGATGAATCCGTAATTCTTTGGGATGATTGTCGTGGAAGAAGTGGGTCGAGCCCAATGAAGGTTTCTTTTGTTTCTTCTTTATCCCATTTCCATGTCGCGGTTTCATCAAAGACAACATCTCTTGATAGTACCAACTCCTTCGTTAATGGATTGAATAAGCGATATCCCTTTGATTCGTCGTTATATCCGATGAAGATAAGTTTTTCTCCTTTTCCATCGAACTTCTCCCTATTCTTGGATGGAATTAAAGCGTAGGCAATGCAGCCAAAAACTTTCAATTGATTTACAACGGGTTTCTTCTTGTGCCATGTTTCGTACGGTGTCTTGTCTCGCACAGCTTTCGTTGGAGATAAATTCAGAATATGAACAGTGGTGTGAACAGCTTCTGCCCAGAATTCATCCGGGAGATTTTTTCCAGTAGGCATGCTTCGCGCCATTTCTTCAATCGTCCGGTTTTTCCTTTCTGCTACACCATTTTTTTGTGGTGTGTGTCGGACTGTGAGCTGCCTTTTTATCCCTTCTTTTCTACAAAACTCCATGAATGGCTTGAAGATTCCCGGGCGGCCCGGGGGGTTCGGCGCGTGGACGAAATTCTCCTCCTCTATCAGTTCTTAAGCACTTTATTGCAAAGCCACTTTGTTTTTCAGAAAGTGCTTTAAAGTGCATAAACCTTTGAAATGCTTCCGACTTATGCTCTAGAATGTACACCCACATCATTCTCGTAAAGTCATCAACAAATAAAAGAAAGTACCTTTTATTTCCCAATAACGGTGTTCTTGTTAGACCACAAATATCTGCGTGCACAATTTCAAGAGGTGTACATTCTCTCCCTACAACTTTCGGAAATGGGAGCCGATGCATTTTTCCATATATACATCCTTCACAAACTTTTTCATAATTTCTGATTTTTGGAAGACCGACAACCATGTCCTTTTGCTATAGAAGCTGCAAGCCTTTGAAATTGAGATGTCCATATCTCAAATGCCAAAGGTAAGTGTCATCCTCGGCAGCAGTCTTCAATGCGACATGCAACTCCATTTTGAGAGGAAAAAGATTGTTAGCCGTCATCTCCACCTATGCTACACAGTCTCCATAATTTTTGTCGAATATTTCACACCTTCCATTGTCAAAAATCAGCTTGTATCCATTTCTCATCATTTACCCCACACTCAAAAGATTTTGTGATATATTGGGCGAGAAATTTATATCATGGATGAATTTGTCACCTTTTTTGGTTTGAACGGCAACAATTGCTTTTCCTTCAATCATCTTCTTTCCATCACTGAGCTCAACATGTGTGGAGTAGCTTCTATCAATTTCATGGAAATCTTCTTGATTTCCAGATAGATGGTTGCTGCAGCCGCTGTCCAAGTACCACATCATGGCTGATTTTGTACTATCTGATCGGGAGATAAATAGCTTACATGATTCATCCCCTGCTGAGAAGTGTGTCTCTTTCTGCTCTTCTCCTTGTTTGTTCTTTTGTTTATGCCAACAATCTTTGTCGGCATGGTTTGGCACCTTGCATGTCTTGCATCTCCACCAACAATTTCTTGATTCGTGGCCTTTTCTATTGCACACGTAACACTCTACATCTGGTTCTCAAATTCACCTTTCCCTCTACCCCTGTTCTGAAATTTTCGGCCTCGCCCTCTCCCAGGTGCTTGACCGAAGGAAAATCCCCCTCTTTCTTGTTGCAATGAATTCTTGGAAATGTGTGTCTTTACTTGAAAATCCTGTTCTAATGGTTGGTTTTTGTAGTTGCTCATTCTTTGCTCATAGGCTTCCAAGGTTCCCATAAGTTCGAATTGAGTGAGTGTTCTGAGATTTTTCATCTCAATGATGACAACAATGATGTGCTCAAATTTCTGCGGCAAACTTCTCAGAATCTTCTCCACTACTTTTTTTTCTGGAACTTCCTCTCCGCAACTTTTAATTTGATTGATTATTTC